ATCCCACGTAGAGGTCCGACGGCAACGACGATGGCCGGTGGTGATGTGACGGAAGGCACCAGCTCACCGCGTATGGTCGTGGTGGAGCACGGTTTTGGTGGCGTCGAGATCCCAAAGCTGACGAAGACGAACTACCACGAGTGGGCACTTGAAGTGTAGTGCAACCTGGAGGGCATGGAGCTTTGGGATGCCGTGGAGGGCGGCAGCGCTGAGCGCGGCAAGGATCGACGGGCACTGGCTGTCATTCTACGCGGTGTGCCACCGGAGATGAAGTCTGGGCTCGTCGCGAAGAAGACGGTCAAGGAGGCTTGAGAGGTGATCAAGTCACTGCGCGTGGGAGACACGCGTGTGCAGGAAGCCAAGGCGCAGCACCTCCTCAAGCAGTTCGAGAACGTGGCGTTCAAGGACGGCGAGGAGATCGACGACTTCGTCGTGAGGATCGGCTCCATCGCCGCGGAGCTGCGCGAGTTGGGGGAGAACATGGAGGACGAGCGCGTTGTCAAGAAGATGCTGCGGGTTGTGCCATCGAGGTTCAACCAAATTGCATGCTCCATCGAGATGTTCGCCGACTTCAAGAAGATGTCGCTGGAGGAACTCGTCGGTAGGCTGCGCGTGGCGGAGGAGCGTCGAGCTTGGAGGCGAGTGCACCGGGCAGCTGCTTCTCATGGAGGAGCAGTGGGAGGCACGTCATCGTCAGCGACGCAACAAGGACCGCGCACGTGCGGGCGATGCGCAGAACGGCCGTGGTGGTGGCCGCGGTGGCGACAACGATGATGACAGGAGCAACAGCACCTACTCTGAGTACGGCGAGGGCAAGTCAAAGAACAAGAAAGGCAAGTGCTACAACTGCGACGTGCGAGGACATTTCTCCCATGAATGTCCAAAGAAGAAGCAGGAAGAGGCGCTGCTTGCGAAGGCCGATAACGAAGCAACCCTTCTGTGATGAAGCATTGAGTGCGCAAGTCAAGATTAGGGGAGTCAATGTTAGGAATAATCATGACTTGGTTATTTGAGTTATTGCATATAGGCCATGTACATGTGTGTCATGTGCGTAGTCTGTGTCATCCAAAACGAGATGTGTTCTCGTGGAGGATTCAAGAGTCATTTGCATATAGATTAGGCTAGTTAGCAAGTTAGAGTGTGCGTGTGTTGCACAACAGGTTGTTAGCTAGTCTCTAGGACTTGCATGTGTTGAGTATACGGTAGAGTAGTATTAGCCACTGCATGTTAGCCAGGCACATTTGGAGGCGTGGCTTGGTCAGAGGACCGTTTCATGCGGCGTACGTGCAACATATGAGTGTGTGGCTCGGAAGCTGTGGAACGTGCGAGCACGCATGAGACCCGGACAGTAGTGGCTCCCATGTGCATGTGGGCAAGGCTATTTAGCCGTGTATCCTGTTTAGTTCAGGTGCGTCGAGTTGTGTATCTTTCAGTTAATAAAGCCAACATACAGGCCATCCGGCGGCCGGGGCATTCGTCGCCAGCAAAACTAGCGTACACTGTTCATCTTCCACCTCCATCTCCTCTCGTGTGTGAGCGTGTGAGTGCAGTTCGTGCTGCCCAGGGCCAACACGGCTCGATGCTCCAAAACACTGCTGCCTGTGCAACCGAGAGCTGGAAACCATTGATCATATCATAGCCTCGTGCTCCTGCTCCAGACAAATTTGGTGGCACATCCTAATGGCACTCGGTGCAGATGCTTCCCAGGTGGGCAGGGACAGCCTGCTGTCATGGTGGAATGCATGGCGTGCACGATAGACTGGAGACAACAGGAAAGGAGCGGACTCTCTCTTCGCGCTAGTGGCTTGGGAACTGTGGAAGGAGAGAAACATGAGATGCTTTTGTCAAGCCTCGTCCACGGTGCTGCAGATCCTCGCGCACATCAAGCACATCGCAGATCAATGGATCGACGCCGGTGCGGCGAAGTTACGTTGTCTCTTGCGTAGGTAATCGGCTTGTAACTAAGTTTGTTAGGAGGAGATAAGCTGTGTGTAAGATCATTTGCCCTCGTTGATGTAAAAATTCTATTTTTTGATTTTAATAATACAATGATGTATAAAGCTTTTACCTATTCCACAAAAAGATTCGTTTTACCGAAGGCCGAAATATCAATTTCTCATGGGTCGACTTTGAGCAGATAAAAGGCCAGCACCTGGACACCAACATCACCCAAAATACAGGATCCATTCCATGTTTGGGTAGCGCTACAGGTAAAGGGTTCAATACCGATTTTTGGTCTTCTCCAACAACAGGACCCAAAAGAGAACCCTTTCTGCAAATGAGTCTCTAGGAGAGAGGATAATCCTATTTAGGTTGTGTCTCTGTTGTAACCTAAAATGGGTCTCGCATATAGGTATTTTTTTGGAGGCTGATACATTACCATCCATGACCTATTTTGGGTTTGAATCTCCATACGGGCCATCCATTGGAGACAACCTCAGGGCTGTCAGGCGTCCCAATCTTGGTCGTTTTCGTGTCGATCTCCGTCACGGCGTCCAGCAGGGGGAGGCTGCTGGCCGGTCGGGAGACGGGGAGGGCGGCGTTGTGGCGCAGCGGGCACAGCGCCAAGGCCGTAGGGCGCCGCGCAGGGGGCGGTGGTGCTTCGTTGCGGGTGGAACACTGCTCGTATATTTTTTTCAAAAAAAAAGATTTGATTTTCTATTTTTTGATAGCATAGAAAACCATCGTTCATTGGTAGAATGAATTTGGCAATATCATTTGTCCACTAGATGATTTCTTCGAATTTGGGACGGTTCATTGGTAGAATTTGGCAATGTCGTCGGTCCATTTGCAATTTCCGAAGTTAAATTCGTTTTGCGGGAAAACAATTTCTTCGAATTTCATCCTACGGTGGGACGATTTCTCCTAATTTTGGGTACTGGTAGGACGACTTCACAATGTCGTTTTATTGGAAAACGATTATACAATATTTCTGTAATTTCACTGATCCATAGTATATTTTTGTAAATTCCGTAAAAAATATGTTAAAAATAAAAATTTATGTCTAGTGATGAAAACGGGATGTATATTTCTCAGTATATATCTCCAATAGATATTCAAATACTAATAAATGGATAATCCATATATAAATCTATACACTTGTATATTCGAGGAATCAAGGGCCTGTTTGATATCATAGCCCGAGAGCCTGGCTGCGCCCGTGGGCTGCAACGCCCGTCTTTGATGTTCTGAGCCCAATCGCGAGCCTGGCCCATGCGGTGCAAAACTCACTCTCTTCCCTGGCTCTCAGAAAACGAAACTAAGGGCCTGTTTAGGACTACTCTGCTCCACCTTTTGCAGCTCTGCTCTACCAACTCCACCACAGAGCAGCTCCACTGTGGAGTTTCTGGAGCAAGTGGACCTGTTTGGCACGCAGTTTAGCTCCAGCTCTGAAAACATGAGGTTTCTATAAGAAAGGTCTACTATGTCCCTGATCGATGTTTGGTGTATATTATGTTGTATGCTGAGCATGTGTAATTGAATATTTTTTTTACCAATTCAAATATGGTGTAAATATTATAATCTCATTTAATTTATTGGAGAAAAGTAAAAAACAAATATTTTTATTAGAACTGAAAGCAGGGACACCGGTTTCAAAAGGAAGCAGGGACACCAATCTTAGAAGCAAACTGAAACTTTCTAACTGAAAGCAGTATCTGAAATGCACAACAAGTAGTCAAGCAACTAATTTTCATTTCAACAAAGCTGAAACGCAATTTGTTTTATCTCAACTTCAGGTTACTAATTTGTAACTGAAACGAAATTGCTAAATGAAATTAATAACTAAAATTGAAAAAACAAATTTGAAAACTGAAATTGCTAACTGAAAGCACATAATTATAATCAAATTGAAATTGCTATCTGAAATCACAAACTGAAATTGAAAATTGAAATCAGCAGCACTGACTGAATGAATCAAACTGAGGGAAAAAGTTACTTGTTCTTGCAGGTTCGACTCACGCATCTCATCAGTTCATCACTATTGTGCAGCCATCGACTCACGCATCAATCACAATAGGTAAATAAATCAATAGATTGCTAGAATAATAATCAGCAAGCAATCAAAGTGACAAGACATTCAGAGGATAAACTGAACTGAACAAGCCATTCAGAGGCTAAACTGAACTCAGCGCGTATGTTCAGAGAAGAAACTGGTCCACGCCACTGCTCCTCACCTGCACCTCCAAGAGCCTGCATTGCTCAACGACTTCCCGCTCCTCGTCCATGGCAGCCTCGCTGCCTGAGCCCCGCGGTAGTAGTCGTCTACAGAGGAGCGCGCCGTTGGAGAGCAACGCACCGAGGTAATCCGGTTCGCAGTGGCTTGACGGAGGATGCAGTCACGGCTTCACGATCGAAGGGGGAGGGGCGAGCGGATTTCCTCCTCCGGCGGAGTCGCGGGAGCCGCGGGAGCTCCTCCTCCTGCGGCGGCAGGCGGCTGTGGCCGCGGGATCTCCTCTTCCGGCGGAGTCGCGGTGGCCTGGCGGAGTCTCGGTGTCCGCGGGATCTCCTCCGGCCGGTGGTTTGGGGAGGACGGGCTGGAGCAGAGGAGAGAGGCGACGGGAGTAGAGGAGGATGAGGGCGTCGGGTGGGGGGCGACGGGAGGAAACATAACGAAACGGTATTTGTGTAACGAGTGGCAATTGCGGGTAATTACCTCCAACTCCATGAGGACATACGAAACGCTGGTTTGTGGAGTACCCTCTGAGGAGCTCCGCGAAAAACATAGAGTTCGACCAAAACTCCATTTTTTTGGAGCAGAGTTTGTGGAGTTGGATCTATTTGACATAAAAGTTTAGGAGCAGAACTACAAAAGGTGGAGCAGAGCAGTTCCAAACAGGCCCTAAGGTCCGTTTTTCTGGGGCTGGCTGAGTTGAGCGTCGATGGACTCCACGCTGAGGGAATATTTGGTAAATATGTAAATGTCCCCACGCTAGGATAGCGTTACCCTTTCTCACCCACCGCCCCTTTGACCGACCTGCTGGTGAGCTGCGAGAGCAACAATGGCTGAGTTGGTGGTCGGGGCGTTGGTCAAATCGCTGAAGGAGAAGGCGTCCAGCTACCTTCTGGATCAGTACAAGGTGATGCAAGGCATGGAGGAGCAGCGCGAGATCCTGGCTCGCAGGCTCCCGGCCATCCTTGACGTCATTGAAGATGCGGAGAAGGGGGCTAGCCGACCAGGAGTTGGTGCTTGGCTCGATGCAATCAAGAAGGTGTCCTATGAGGGGATCGACGTCTTCGACGAGTTCAAGTATGAATCGCTCCGGCGTGACGCCAAGAAAAAGGGGCACTACGTCAAGCTCGGGATGGATGTCGTAAGCCTCTTCCCTGCTCGTAACCCCATCGTGTTTCGTTACAGGATGAGCAAGAAGCTGCACAAGATTGTGCAGAAGATAGAGGTCCTTGTGAAAGAGATGAATGATTTCAGCTTCACACAGAGGCAGCATGTGCCAGTGCCGCCATCGGTGCAGTGGAGGTGGCGGCAGACTGATAGCATAATGGTTGACTCTGATATGGACATTGTCAGCAGATCCAGAAGTGAGGAGAAGACCAAGATCGTAAAGATATTGCTTGAGCAAGATGGTCATGGTAGTGGGGGCGTTCCCATGGTTGTTCCTATCATTGGAATGGGCGGTCTGGGCAAGACTACTTTTGTGCAGCTCATCTACAATGACCCTGAAATTGAGAAGCATTTCAGTCTCCGGAGGTGGTGTTGTGTGTCAGAAGATTTTGACATTGCTAACATTGCAAGCAAAATCTGCCCGAGACATGAGGAAGATCGTGAGAAAGCATTGCAGGAACTCCGGAAAGAAGTTAGTGGGAAGAAATACCTCATTGTGTTGGATGATGTCTGGAATCGGGATCCTGATAAGTGGGGGAAACTGGTGACATGCCTTAAGCAAGGTGACAGGGGAAGCATAATACTGACAACAACCCGTGATGTACAAGTAGCTCGAGTTATGACCATGGGTGCACCTGGAGCCTTTAGCCTTCAAAAGTTGGGTCACAAGTATATGAAGGAAATAATCCAAAGCAGAGCATTCAGCGTGCAAAAGCCAAGCAGTGATGAGCTAGATGTGGTTGTTGATAAGATTGTCGACAGATGTGTTGGTTCTCCTTTGGCAGCCAAAGCATTTGGCTCAATGTTGAGTACCAAGACCAGCATACAAGAATGGAAGGATATGTTAGCTAAAAGCAACATTTGCGATGAGAGGACAGAGATTTTTCCAATACTGAAGCTCAGCTATGATGACCTGCCGTCAGACATGAAGCAATGCTTTGCATTCTGTGATGTGTTTCCCAAAGATTATGAGATTGATGTGGAGAGTCTGATCCAACTATGGATGGCTCACGACCTCATACCCGCGCAAGATGAAGATAATCCTGACTTGATAGGTAAAGAAATTTTTAACCAACTAGCTTGGAGATCTTTCTTTCAAGATGTGAAGCAAACCCCGCCACCGATTGATCTCTATGGAAGACGAAAACAGCTCCGTGGTGGAAAAATATGCAGGATGCATGATCTTATGCACGATGTGGCTTTCTCGATCATGGGAAAAGAATGTGCAACCATAGTTGATAGGGCCAATGTGATGTCATTGTCCAAGCCTATTCGCCACATGTTTATATCATACTGACAACCTGGCACTCGTTTGGATGATTTTCTGAAGAAGCATTCTTCAACACTACAAACATTGTTATATTCACATCCGTGGATTGATTATGAGTCAGGACCACATTTATCGAAGTACAATTCCTTACGGGCAATGCAGTTGTGTGGACTGGAAAAATTTCCAATTAAGCCAAGGCACTTGCAGCACCTAAGGTATCTTAACTTGTCAAGCAACTGGTGGATTGAAGAACTTCCTCAAGAAATATCTTTACTATATAATTTATTGACCATGGATGTTTCTCATTGTCGGTCTCTTTGCCGGCTTCCAAATAATATGAAATATATGAGAAGCCTCCGGCATCTCTACACCAATGGATGCACATCATTAGAATGCATGCCTCCTGACCTTGGACAAGTAACTTCTCTACAGACTTTAACATATTTTGTGGTGGGTTCCAGCTCCAGTTGCAGCACTGTTAGTGAACTCCAACACTTAAATCTCAGCGGTGAACTAGATTTAAATGGCCTTGAAAATGCAACTGAAGAGCATGTGAAAGCTGCCAGTCTTGGAATTAAAGAGAAACTTACACACTTATCTCTGAAATGGAATAGTGAGGATGATGAGGAATTAATATCAGATTGTCACAGCAAGGTGCTAGATGCTCCTAAACCTCCTGGTGGGATGGAGATGGTAAGGATAGTAAACTACAAAGGTAGCAATATACCGACATGGGTGAAAGATCTTGGTTTGTTTCAGCAGCAATTGACTGAGCTCCATTTAATTGGTTGTACAATGTGTGAAGACTTCCCTGAATTTTCTCATATGAGAGTTCTTCAAGTCCTTCACCTGAAAAAGCTGTATAAACTGCGCAGCCTGTGCAGAAACATAGCATTCATGGAATTTTCAGCATTAAAAGAACTCAAGTTGTGTGATTTGAAGAGCCTGGAGAGATGGGTAGCATCTGAAGGAAAGGGGGACGAAGTAACCTTTCCTGTCCTTGAGAAGATTTGTATTAAGGACTGTCCAAAATTGACAACTCTACCTGAAGCACCGACGATCAAGGTTGTCAAGATAAGAGAAGACAAGGCACAGCTGTCCCTTTCATTAATTTCATCCAGATACATGTCTTCGTTGTCTGTGTTGGAATTGCTTGTAAGGGGCACAGAAGCAGCGCTGGAGCTTGATCAGAATCAGGAATTATCAATTACAGAAATGAATATTACTGGCTGCGTCTTTTTATTCACCTCAAGTCCATCACGACATATTGTTGGGATTTGGAAATGGTTTGGACAACTTCAAGCACTTGAGATTCGTAGTTGCAGTTCTGTCATCTACTGGCCAGACGAAGAATTTCTTAGCTTGGTATCCTTAACGAAATTAAAATTTCTTCAGTGCTCTAAGCTAACTGGGCGTGCACAGGTGAATGGTGTAGCAACACGAGCAAGGGATGAGCTCCTGCCACAGCTAAAGAAACTAGAGATAGGTGGATGTGAAAGCTTAACCGAGCTGTTCGTCCTTCCTCAATCCATTACACATATCAGTATTGATGGGTGCCGTAGTTTTGAGTTCATATGGGGAAAAGATGATACAGAGCCGATGAGTGTACAGGTGGAGCATGGCAACGACCTCACAGCAGCACCAGAGCAATTGCAAGGAAGTACTAAATCTTTGCCTTGCCTAGAGAGTCTATATATACACGGCTCTGATAAGTTAGCAACACTTCCAAATATACCACCATCTCTCAAAGAGTTATCAGTTTATCACTGCCCAGAGCTTCGTTCCATATCAGGGCATTTGGATGCGCTCGTGGGTGTGGGTATTGGGAGCTGCGACAAGCTGGAATCTCCAGAGTGGGGCAACATGCCCGCATTAAAACGTTTCGGACTCGGTAGTTGCAAACGTCTAACATCCTTACCTGGCAGTCTTGGGAGTTACTCTGCTCTTACCAGTGTTCACGTCAATTACTGCCCTGCCATAAATATGAAGCCTCTTTATGAACATCTCCCACAAAGGCTTGATAGCCTTGAATATAAATGCTTGTCACATGCTCGATCAAGCGATCCTAAGGAAGGTACCATTTATTCCATTAATATCTTCTTTCTCTTGACAGCATTAAGATTTATATGGTACTACTTACTCATTAGAAACAAATACTCCATCCAAAATCCCTGTTCAATGATTATTTTGTTTCTGTACAAAAGTATGTCTATATCCAAGAATAAATACAGATAATTATCACACGCTCACTAAAGGGGTCCTCACAAGGCTATCCTTCCAATCTTTATCCTATGTTTTTCTTTCCTTTTGTTCTCTCTTGCTTGAAATGATTATTTATAACTCAGTCCACAGATTTTCTCAATGGTTTGAGATGCAATTCTATTGTTATCATGGATAGGTAGGTAGGTTTGCTCTAAGTAGCAGATGGACTTGTAGTCCAATGCAGGGTTTGGAATTTTGGCCAAAATTTCACGATGTTGGGTCCTCCTAGGGTAAATTCGCATCCCAGTAATTAGGTTTTAAATTTGGATGAGATTCGTTCAGATTTAGTTACCATTTCTCAAAGTTTCGAAAAATCAGCTAAAATTTCAGTAATTTCCGCGATATTCGAATCCCTATCCTGCACCTCGGGTGTTTGGTTGACAGCAGCGGCCGGCTGCCTAGGCCAGGCAGTGCCTAGGCGTTCAATTCCGGACGCCTAGGGCCTGGATCGCTTGCCCAGCCAGACGTTGCCTAGGATGGCATCAAATAGCCCATGGTCTCCAATGAACACCGCACGGAGCTCCTTTCCAAAATTAAAAAAAGGTTGGCAACCTAACCTAATCTGCATTGCTCTTCAAAGCGGCTACTATGTGTTTGTTTTGTTTTATTTCAGGAGCATATATGTGTATCATTATTTATATGTTGCCATCAAGGCAATTTATTTATTTTTAGACCAAACAGCCTTGGCCTAGCTTTTATAGAAAGCTTAAAACAGGTATGCTTGAGATACCAGCTTACATATCAGGTACAAGAAAAAAACTCTAAGTTACAGCCTCACCAGCTCTCCACTAAACAGAAGACAAACCCCTGAAAGCAGAACGGCTAAGAAAACAAGCCCTTTACAAGCCGACTGAAGAACAAAAGACAGAAAGACGACAGAGAGAAAAGACTGCCAACAGACTTCCCGTCCATCTTTAGAAGTTTTTCACCATTTTGTTAGGCTGATCTTCAACTTCAGCACCATCTCTTCCAACATGGACTTCTTCTCCTTCCTTGCCATAATCTGCTACTGTTTGAGATGCAAACATTTATTGCCATCTGAATGCAATTTATTTAATTTACATTTAGTGCCATTCTGACGATGTTCCCATCTCCAGGATCTAAACTTCGGGACCCAAAATCTTGGATATATGCCATCCCAGGGTGCAAGTATTAGGTGTATAGGCGACGCTTGAATTCCTGAATAGTGATCTGGCCCAATACCACGAAGGTTTGTGGGATTTCATTATTACATCTTGAAACCAACAAGTTTGATGGGTCTAGAAGGGTTATTTATTTAATTTGTGTCTTTCTTTCATTGACTTTGTGTGGCTTCTTGCAGCACTGCTGATGGACATACGCATTATGAACATCTCCTACGTATTGTTGGGTATTTGTATTTCAGATGGACAAGTGCTGGTGAATGGAGCACGCATCCATTTCATTAGATATGTGTTAAATATGAGGCCATTCTTATTGTAACGAGACGACTTGTTATCTTGTTTGGTCGACGGAAGCGGTAGAGCCAAGGCTCCCCTGGGGTCCATGCCCAAGCTCCCCTGCTGCTGACACCTTAGCTACAAATGTCGAATGATTGCTACGACGTCTAGGAGAGATGAAGAGGCTGAGGCCACACCATCACTGCATCACAACTCTGACCTCACGGATCAGCGACCATTCTGCGGTGGGCAGACGTCACACTGCCATCCCAACTCCCCTTCAGCGATGTTCCTTGCCTCTTCCCCGTTCTCGAATCCAAATATAATAACATACGGATTTTTTCGTCCTGGACTGCCGTTGGCTGTACACGTGAAGGTTTTTTTTTTTTGAAAATGTTGTACACGTGAAGGTAACCATCCATTCTCTCATCTTCTTTCACTTCCTTCTATTGCTGCAGATGGTTATTAGTACAATTCGATATCGAGTTACGAGTTTGCATTTTTCATTGTGAACATAGGTCACTGTGAAGAGTTTGTTTCTCGTAAATAAGGCAATCCCATTGGAACCCACAATCCACTGTTCAGTGTTTTTGTTTTATTTCAGTGCAAAAGTATGTGTACGTCCTTGAATACAAATACTTTCTAAACGAATTTTAATTTTCTTTTAACGATCCAATATATATATATATATATATATATATATATATATATATATATAAGGCTATTCTGCACCTTGATTTACGATAATATTTGTACAAATTTACGATAACATGAATATGCATTTACGATACTTGTGTTATATTTACTATAACTCATGGTGATATTTACCATAATGTTATAGTAAATCACTTAGTAAGGAGTTACTATAATCTAGTAAATTAGCATAGTAATTATCGTAACTCAAAGTGGTCACAGAATAAGTTATTCTATGACCAGCTACAGAACAGTATATATATATATATATATATATATATATATAACTACTACCATGTAGTTGGCTACAAAATAACTTATTTTGTAGCTACTTTGAGTTACGATAATTACTATATTAATTTACGAGATTATAGTAACTCCTTGCTAAGTGGTTTACTATAATGTTATGGTAAATATCCCCATGTGTTATAGTAACCCACTTATCGTAAATATGTATTGGCATTATCGTAAATTAGTATATAAAATTATCGTAAATGGAGGTGGCTATAGAATAACTTATTTTTGTAGCCGGCTACTGAACAGTAGTTCTATATATATCGTGCTGACCACAGGGTGTCCTTGCATTCCTTCACTTATTTTTTTTTCATTCTTTTTTCTCTGATCGGGAGATGGTTGTTTATGATTCAGTCCCAAATTTTCAACTGATTTTCTCAGTGTTTGTAGATGCACTTGTATTGTTATGACGAAAAGGTAGATAGATTTGGTCTATGTATTAGGCAGCCTAACCTAACCTCGGTTGATCCTCAAACTACTTCTGTGTTTATTTTGTTTCAGCAATATTCCAGATCAAATTCACGATTTTTGGTGTTTCCAATCAATCATGACCGGTATAATGTTTTTCTGTTTCGAAACTTTATAGGATTTTATTTAAACAACCCAATATATGGGTCCCATAGAAATTCTGGCGTAAAACTTAACGTGTCTACCGAATCAAATCTTACACCAATGGAAATATGGAATAGTGAGTGACCTGATGAACCATCACAGTAGGAGATTTTTGTGATGATTATTCATTGTAAAACTTATTTATTCAATTTAAGTAAACTGGAATTCCATACTAAAAATATCAGAATTTAACGTTTCTGCACCTGATTTATTCAAGTTAATTTAAATCATCATGTTTCATATTAAAAAATGATTTATATTTTAATATTAAAATTAAGTAGAAATTGAACTTTACACCAGTAAAATACTGAGTGACGTGGTGAAACTTCACATTAGGACTTCTGTTTTGGTCATTCATTATAAAACTTACCTATTCAACTTAATCAAACTGGAATTTCATACCAAAATATCCGAATTCGTTGATTCCGCTAATTGCGTCTCGGACCGTAAAAAAACACTACCAAAATTAGAATCCATGTGTGCAAACATGTACGGTAGCTCTGAATTTTGGCTGGTAATTAACCCTTGATGTGACTTATGATTATTTGTGTTGGCATCGACGCAATTAACTTATGCCACTCTGACGCTGTTCCCATCTCCAGGACCTAAACTTCCGGACCCAAAATCTTCGATATATGCTATCCTAGGGTGCAAGCGCAAGCGCTGAGCGTAGCGTATAGGCGGGACACATGAAGGTTTGTGGGATTTCATTGTTGCATCATGAAACAAGTTTTATGAGCTCCAGAATGGTTATTTATTTATTTTGTCTCTTTCTTTCTTTGACTTTGAGTGGCTTCTTGCAGCACTTTCTGAATGCTGATGGATATACATTGAGGGTGGTCATGGTGCTGCTGGGTGAGTTGCAGACATGCTCATTGACATGAACGACAAGGGAGGAGGCAGCGACAAGGGATGTGACCCGCTGCACAGCATGCTTGTGAGCACCTTCTGTCCTGAATCTTCCTTTTTGGTAGATAATTAAGTAGCCCTTCTCGCGCTGCTCCTTTAGTAGAAGAAGAGTCAAATCTTCTACTTAATTTTACGTTGCCAAATGGAGTAGAAAACTAGCTGCAGATACTCCTTGCCATTAGATGAAGAATAGAGATTTCTTTAATTCCACGCTTCCACAACTTTTTATTGGACTGACGATGGCCGACGAACAGGTTAGGAGGAGGCAGAGAGAGTGAGGAGGTGAGCGGTGTCGGTGTGCACTGGCAGAGGGACCACAACAATGGATTCATCTGTTGTCGAAAAAAAAAGTTGAATTCGTCGATTGGAGACACCGTCAGAGATAGGCGCAGGTGGGTCGAGAATTTGTAGTGGTCGCACACGATTCACTGTAGTGTAATGCTACCAACGTAGTTCATGAAACGGATTCACATGGGACCAAAGCAAATTAAGGGTATGTTTGGCTGGTATTAAAGTTGGCTGATAAACCGACTGAAGCTGTTTTGTTGTGAGAGAAAAATACTGTAGATTTTAGCTGATAAGCCGGCTGATAAGTTCAGACAAACATGCCCTAAAATCTGATTTATCACTCCTTGAACAATAATTTTACATGTCGCAAAAGAGAGCTGCTGCTGCTGCTACTACTACTATTTTCTTTTATTTATTATCTTCTCATAAACATTATTATTGTAGAGTCCATGGACGTGGTCATTGCCGTCCGTGCTGTATCAACGGTGCCTCCATCCATATCGAGAGGAGATTAGATTTCCATAATAATGATACGGTGAGCACATACGTTCGTCTGGGCACCGTCTTCTCAAATAAAAGAATATCTCTCGCTCCGTCTCACGTGCTAGTTTGGTTTTGGTTAATTGATGAAATCCTAAGTGTTAACCTAGTTTATCAAAATGATTATGAAATAGGTAACACTATTTCAAGTGGTGAAGCAAATGAAGATCGTAACATGATGATGGTGATTTCATGGTGATGATCAAGTGCTTGGACTTGGAAATGGAGAAAGGAAAACAAAAGGCTTAAGGCAAAGGTATAAGTGGTAGGAGCCTTTTCGTTTCGGTGATCAAGACACTTAGCGAGTGTGATCATATCTATGTTCGATAGCCGTACTAATAAGATGGGTGAAACTCGTATCAAAATGCGGTTATCAAAGTGCCACTAGATGCTCTAACTCATTGCATATGCATTTATGATCTAGTGGAGTGCTAACACCCTTGAAAATGTTTGTGAAAATATGCTAACACACATGCACGAAAGGTGATACACATTGTGTTTAGCACTTGGGAACAAGGGTTTGAAACTCCACCGGCGCTCTGTACAGAAAAGACAGGATTTCATAGAGTGCACTGGACGCTGGTCACGCGGTGACCGAACACTGGGGTCCTACGTCCGGTCAGTGGAAGCAGTGAAGACGTTGGCGTCGGTCTTCGACCGAACGCTGGGTCACTTAGTGACTGGACGCTGATGGGGTGCGTCTGGTCCTGCTGACGTGGCAGCACACAGTGAAGAGGGTGACTAACCGGACGTTGAGTAAGTCCGGTCAAGGGTGACCGGACGCGTCCGATCGTGAAAAATTATCTCTGGATGCTTACTGGAAACGATCGGACGCTGAGGTCCTGCGTTCGGTCACTTCGAAGCAGCGCGTCCGGTTACAATTTAAATGTACTGATGACCGTTGAGATCGGGCGATCAGCGTTTGAAGCAGGGCCACGTGGCGTGCATCGCGCGACCGGACGCTGGGGTCCAGCGTCCGGTCGCCCTGTTTTTCAGTGGACTGTGGAGCCAACGGCTTTCTTTCGTGGGGGCTTCTATTTAAGCCCCATGGCCAGCTCAAGCTCACTCTTTTGGCGATTTGCATTGACATAATAATCTTGTGAGCTTAGCCAAAGCCCTACCACTCATCTCCATCATTGATCCATCATCATTGTGAGATTGGGAGAGAATCCAAGTGTATTGCTTGAGTGATTGCATCTAGAGGCACTTGGTATTCGTGTTTCGTTGCGGGATTCACTTGTTGCTCTTGGTGGTTGCCACCACCTAGACGGCTTGGAGCAGTGATGAGGATTGGCACGAGTTGGTGATTGTTCGTGGCCATCTTCAGTGATTGTGAGGGGACTTGTGCCTTCCCCGACGGAGCGCTGAAAGGTAACTCTAGTGGATTGCTCGTGTCATTGAG